GAAGGCTCACTCACCTTGCCTAATCAGATGTACTAAGGGAGTGAAAGACTAAGCGTGGAGAGGAGAGTATGAGGCGAGAGAGCGCAACAGACATTTATTCAAGACATTTACTATTTCACTGAAAGAACCCGTAACATACGCATAATGGACAGGTGAAGACATTCATGAGAACATAAAGAACGAATGGAACGAAATAGCGACACAAAATCATTCTGTACAATTTCCACTGATCGACATTTTTGCCAAAATGCCCTACATAGGCAGTCCAGGGATCAAGAAGAAGGATTAGAGACTAGCGGGAATAAGCTCAGGAACGCAAAACTACCGATATATCTTACTTGTTAAGAAGGCAAAGAGCAAAAATTTTAAAACACTTGCTAAGGCAAAACAGAACTTATAAGTTAAAAGAACAGTATAAAAGTACAAAAACAATAATATCTTATCTAAAAAACTGTGTTTAGGCAGAATTATGAAAGGATTACACCCTGGACGAGTTCTTCTGTGGACGAGATCATGAGCCGTCAAAGTGGACGAGTTCGGCTTCGTCAATGTTTGTGACCAGCGTGGCTCGGCTTGCGCCAAGATTCACAATGGCGATTTCTTCGATTCGATGAGGAGCAAATCTTAACATTTTCACAATAAAAACAAGTTCTTCAGCTCTTTGAAATATCAAAACTCACTTGGCATCTTTCCATGTGTTTCTTTTATCCAAACCAAGTCGATAGAATGTTACTTTCCCAACGGCAATCAGTCCAAAAACAGCATGTGTTTGAGCAACTGAAGCGGGAAATATAATAATAGTTATTGAGTTATGTAGAAGTCACTATTATTGTAGAATTTTTGTCATAGTTAAACCGTCTTGCAGTTACTATCTCTAGTTTACCTCAAAGAGGGCATGAAGAAGGCACAGTTGGGAGACGCGATCTTTGGCCATGACACAATGTTTTATTTTTAGGTTGAGGGCAGTGATCGCGATGACTCCAGATCAGGGTGAATAACGGTCGAGGAAATCCTCGACCATGGCTCTGTACTGTGCGAGAGTAGTGCCGAGAGTGAATGTCCGCGCGGAGAGCACAGACGGCTCGCGCATGGCGAGTGTGAATGTCCGCGCGGGAGAGCGTAACTGATCAGGCAAAAATCCTCGACGTGCCGTTGAGGAATCCTCGACCGATATTCACCTCTGACCAGATTTTGATGGTGACATTGAAAGTTTTTGTGGAAGGACGCTAAGAGGCGGTCAAAGCACACCTCCAGCTGTAAGGGGTCTAGTCCACCAGTGATGTTTAGTGAGGTCATCAAAATTGCATCGCGCTCCAGGACCGGTAACCTCCCTCTATAGGACACCAGGAAAAATCACGAAAGCAATGAACCGGAAAACTGTATTTGAAGGCAGCAATTACAATGGCTGGGGGGGGGCGCGGTTTTGATGACTAGACTCCTCAGCACTGGGGGAGGGGGGGGGGGTGATTGAGACCTCCTCTTAAGGGTTTCCACCAAACCTTTCATCAAAACGCACCTCCCTCCAGACATCATCGATGATCGATGATAAAGGCAAGGTCACTCAAATTAAGCTCTTCTCCGAAAAAAAGTGCAGTCGTGGTCACTGTCTACTAAGAGCATCATTGCCTTGGTATGCGCCCTGGATCTAATATCAGTCTAGACGTAGAAGTGATTGGAAGCATAGTCTATGGGTTAACCCAACGCCCATTTCTAGTGTTATTTACCACTGACAATGATTCTCGCGATGTTACCGCAATACGAAATACGACTTACACGCTTGGCTCCTTATCAGTCCAGAAAAATAGCTACAAGACTCACTTTGGTCTAAGTTTCACAGAGATGGTCGAAACGAATGGCACTGTATGTTGGCTTTTTGGCTGGTGTGAAGAGGTTTGTCGTGATCGTGGAAAATTGGATAGATCAAGCCGTCACACAACCGTGGTTATTTTGTGAGGGGCCGAAGTACGCGATTGATTGTCAGTATTCAATATTGCGCCAGTGACCCACTGCTTTTTGTCGTCGGCCATTTAGTTGATTGTTTTATGGGTTTTTTCCCATTTTAAAAGTTAAACTCTTGCTGTGCTATACAACGTGGTGGGCCACACTCGCATTTTTGAACAAAAATTAATGTATGGATTCGGTACCCGCCTATCACGATACTTGTCACGAGAATCGGAATCTGTGAGCCAGGAAGTCTAGCCATATAGGGGTGCGGGTGATAGGCGAGCTACTTGACATGCGCGAAAATGCTGGAACGTGCTCCACCCTCTACTTGAATATCACCATGTTGCTGTTATATATGATCTATTGCCTATTAGTGCTTAATTCCCCTGCTTGTCGTAAACGCTCACCTGTGTACTGAAGTATGCTATATAAAAATTAATATGTCACTTGGAGCGTTTTAGTCTGTAATGGCGTTATGGCTTAATTCTGGAGCATATAGTGAATTCTTTAGTGAAAACTTTCCAATGATGTCTTGCATTTTACGCAACATTCGTCAAGCTTCGATATGCTGCAAGTAGTGTGATTTTTATGGCGCCCTCAAGCAGCGATCTAAGCTCATGTTTAGTCCTTTTAGGACAATATTTGTACTCAGTAGTTATCTAAAGACACTATAAGGCCAAACGTGTTGCCGTATTGTTAGCTACGACTGCTCGTCTTCTGGATGATGAGCTGAAGTACAGTCAGAACAGCTCATCGTTAGAGCTCGGCCAGTTAGTTATGCTGACTTATCGGATGCGCTTCTCTGATGGTTGTCAGGTACGTTGGTGTTCTTACTTCAATTTGAGTTTTACGGGGCTACAAACGTATGGTTTAACATCAAGACAGTGAGTTGGAGGATACACTTTCAAAGAAACTAATTACTTCCAAGCCTTCGAACGGAACCTCAACTCAAATGAAATAATAAATCAGTTAAATTTAAATAAATGCCACCTCTATATGCGTTACATGTGCTTACCTGGTATAGAATCCTGCATCGGAATTACCCTAATCTATTCAAGGTTTCTACCTAGTTTTCGTTCAGCTCAACCGTAATAGACGCATTTGTTTCAAACCATTTTACGGGAGGTCGTGCTTGGAGGGGTAAATGCGGCACCTCCCACCAGGGTGAATATCGCTTGAGGATTCCTCAACGGCACGTCGAGGATTCTCTGCCCGATCAGAGACGATCTCTCGCGCGGACATTCACACTCGCCATGCCGTGCCGTCTGTGCTCTCCGCGCGGATGTTCACTCTCGGCACTACTCTCGCATGGTAGAGAGCTATGGTCGAGGATTTCCTCGACCGTTATTCACCCTGCTCGCCACCAAGCAGCCTCAGGGAAAGGCTTTGGAATGGTGGCATAGGACAGCCATGCTACTAGATCCAAGAAGACGAAACTAAAATTTCTCTATACACGCTTCTAGTGTGCTTCCAAACCATGACGCTCTCCCAAACCTGACAGATGAGCGTGGTGCTGAACCAGTTCAGCGAAGCAATCAATGGAATCTTCCTTCCTGCTACTTGTTAGAATGCAGCAAAACGTGACAGAGAGCAAAAGGCTTAACCATGAAGCTAGCAAATCGCCTTCATTGACAACGCAATGAATACTTTACTTTGAGCTTATTTCTCTCAAAAAGGTTGAGCTCGGCAAGCTACTCTGAATACGACGTCGGACTAATTTTGCACGTCTTCACCCTGGTTTTGATCGCTACTTGGAAAACGCACTGCCCCTTGGAGTGAGGATCCATAGGTTTTAAGCAGTGATCATTGTTCTTAACATCCAAATATTCCTTAAGTTTTTTTTTGAGGGATCATCTAGGAGGGTCGCAGAACGGGCAATGCACCGGAACTGTCTTGAGAAAAAAATTCGTAACCTCATGTTGTGATGTTAGAGAAGCAATAAAGCGAGTGGCTTGAGAGGTTATTAAAAATTTTGAAATTAAGATCAGTAGCCACTTGCAAAAGTTCCACATGAGTTTCTGGTCGGCCAACCTGCCGTCCTACATTGGAATCGAGCTCACACCTTCTTGGGGATCATAAAGTAATCATCATCGTATTTGAGCGACCACGGACTTTTTTGTAACTGTACACCTATTCAACTGTCAGAATTAACCACCAGCTACTGTAGCTAAATGACAAGAACGCCTTTGGGCCACTAACTCCATCCCGTACTCTTGCAACTTATTTTATTTATTCATTTCGTTGCGTGCCAAATGTCACGCGCTACAGATCCAACTCGTCATACAAGTAGGGAGGGAGCGACCCCAACAAGAATACGGGGGAACATCAAACGAGTTAACTGGAACGGGGCAGCAACTTGTCTTTATCCATGGGTGCCCCTCGTGATGTGTTGAATACTGCTCGATCGCATAAAAATTGAGATAAGTGAATTTCTCAATCCCAGAGCTTGTGGTGGGAAAAAATAAATAAAAGACTAAGCAATGTGAAATCTGTGGGAAATTGATATTAATTTTGCTCGTACCTTTATGTAACTGCGAGGTCAGTGTAATTCGAACACAAAAACTCAACGTTGTGGCTAGGGAGCGGCATGATCCACACGACGATGCCGTACGAAAATCCCGATTAACAGTAAACAAACACAGAACACTCTCTGAAATAGCATTAGCGATTAACAAATTCTATTTGGAAATAAAACACTGGGAATAAATGAACTACCCTAAAATCCCATAGATAAGAGCGGTTTAATTTACCGGTGAAAAATGAATTGGAATGAAATTGAAATTGAATGCAGTCACCCCTCTAACTTGATGGATGGATAAATAAAAATCGGAGAAGAAGTTTAGAAGAAGCTCCGCCCCTCAACTCTAAACCCCGCCCACTTAATAAACAATTCATATAGAAAAATAGCGATTTTAACGGAATTTCTGCCGGAATCTCTCTAGAAATGCCGGAATTTGATCTCTGGATAGAACTTGAAGAGCCCATTCGATCAGTAAAATTCCATAGATAAGAGCGGTTTAATTTACCGGTAAAAAATGATTTTGAAAAAATATTTTTATTTTTATTTTATTTTTGAAAAAATATCTATGGACCGCTCTTATCTATGGGATTTTAGGGTACACTTCCTACAAGTCTACCAAATTAAGTAGCATACATTATCAACACCAACAGTCAGTACTAATATGTCGAATAGAAGATGTTCACGTGACCAGGAAGCAGCAATTTCGCGCGTGAAAATGTGTCTATTTTATTTATTTTTTGTTTATATACATTTATTTACACTATTACATTCATCACTTATTTATACTATTTCATTCATTAGTGATTGGTTCTGGAATGCGATTCCAAAAATCCAACAAGTAGAAAGCAGTAGCTCCACGGCACCATGCCAAAGTCAGCCCCGGGGTTGGCACACTCTTTCAGGAGTCAGCGCTATTCCCACCCTGTGACAATCGATCTCAATCCTCTATCGAATGTCATTCTAAGTTTCTTCTACCTCAATCTTTCCTCAAAGCGATCCTTCTTCTCTGAAAACCTCCACCCAGGGGAGGGCGGTGTATCAAAATCCTGATTTCCTAATTCTCTGAGAGGAAATATACAATTCTAATTCCACCGAATACGGCTTTGCCCCAGCCTCCACCTCGTCCCCTTTCCAAACAATCGTTTGATCCTGGTTTTTTCGTAGAACATGGACTAGCGGAGGGTTAACTCTATGCGAAGCGCCGCCCCTGTTATCCGAACATCTTTCAATCCGTGCCATGTATTATCAAAGGACTTTACCGTGTTCTGGAGGGAAGCGTAATATGAGATCTATAAGTATAGGAATTTGCGGGGGCGCCCATCGTCTGGCTTTCTCGTGGCGCGTTAGAGTCCTTCCCCATTAAAGATTCTTTTACAATCAGGTATGTTAAAAACAAGGTTGTGCGCATTTCGAGAAGGTTGTCACACCAAAAAGCTCGCACACATGCTTGACAGCCGAAGCTGCGTTTTTGAACTTTCGTTGTCTGTAACGAATGAAGTAATAAAAAAAGAGGGTAAAAAGGGTTCACTTCAAGGTTATTATTCCCTGGGTTTACTCCTTGCGTGCAAGGTATACACTCGTAGAATGTACATATGTATCTATGAGCTAGTTGAAGGGCTACCACTACTCTATCCATTGGTTTTCTCGTCGACCCTTCAAAATGAAAACTGCGTCCGTGGTCATGCTATGCTTCACAGCGCCCCTAGCCACGCTCTGTCCCGGATGCTAGATGTAGCGTAAGTCACGTACCTTGTTGAGATAAATTAGCGCTGAAAGTGAAACGCAAGAAGAGCAGAGTAGAAGCAATGAGGGCAGCCAGATCAGCAACGGAACCTTTGGGAAGAGCAGTCCGAATGTGCCGACAATCACAGTGAGACCAATCTGGAAAGTGGAAATTATGATTATGACATCTGTTTAGTTTTATTTGTTCAATCGAAATTAGGCAGAGAAATGAATCCGAATATTTGTGCCCTGAATCACCTAGTTCTGACTTTGCTTTAGTTTGACTTCCACGATCTCTTTCCGTGATATCGCCTCAATCTATGCACTCTACCCTTCTAGGATC